CGCGGAGTTCTGTAAGATTTAAACTTCCTGTCATATACGTCGGAAATCAAGTAATACGGAGCCATATGAGTTAATGTTAAGAGTAATTCTACACTATGTTCTACACCAATTTATGCGACGCGAACACGCTATCTTACAACATAAGCACAATCACATTATACACATTTACTGCAGCATTTAATAACTGTAAAAACGTAAATACTTAAACAGATAAATGACTTTCCTCCTGCTCATATTTTGAATATTGCGTCCTTTCGCTTCTAGTGTTGTAGGTATCCCCACCGGGGGTACTTTTATCCCTAGGGATATTAGTGTGGGGATACACAAAACACGGGGACACTCATATCACTGTGACACCGGCATGGGAATGCTTTTTAGGACATTCGACGACTTTTGTTTCGACGACTGCATCGTGGATATTCAACTGCAAAATCTTTTTAATGATGGCCTTGTGGCGCAACTGGTAGCGCGTCTGACTCCAGATTAGAAGGTTAAGTGTTCAAGTCACTTCAAGGTCATGACGAACCTTAACAATTTTCTTGAAAATGTTCGATATCAGATTAGAAAAGCCTTTTACATTTAGTGGTGGTTGCAATGTTGGTCGATCGAATTGCCATGTGGTCTGGTGGTTAGGATCTGGCGCTCTCACCGCCATGGCCCGGTTTCAATTCCCGGCATGGAAAAATTCAAATTCTCAACCGGGAATGCCTTTTGTTCCGTGCTTCCATTCTAAGAATTGTACCCTCGTGCTGTTGACGTTTTGCTACGTCCATCATTTTAATTTGCGGTGCCGCAAACAACGTAGCTAAAGAAGATCACAATGAGCAATTACTGACTACGTGTGTTCCAGTTCTCAAAATAACTTGTCGGTGTTTAAACCCACAGCGAAATAGTAAAAATTGCGAAGAAATGACTGTGCAGTATATCGCGTTGGTGGTTCAGTGGTAGAATTCTCGCCTGCCACGCGGGAGACCGGGGTTCGATTCCCCGCCAACGCAGAGTATTTTACCTCTCGCATGATGGTTTCATGAATTTAGTGAAAAATTGCTATCATCATCCACATCGACAGAAATAGGATCCTTCTAACACATGTCTAAAGAAGAACGCGATGATCAATTTATGTTGCCAAAAGTTTACACAGAACGTTTTAAACAATCATGTTTAAATAAGTGTCTTTTTAATGACTTTTAGAATTTTGTTATACGGCATATATTAACAATAACGTTAACACATTTCTAAATAATCTAATTATTATATCTTATAAGCACTGATTGTTTTAAACAACTTTTAATGACTTTTAAAATTTGGTTATACCGTATATATTAACTGTACCGTTAACACATTTGTAAATAATGGAATTATATCTTATATGTACTGTAAAGTTGCACGTTTGTTGCAACTCCAATATTTATGATAGATTTTACTAAAGACGTACGAATGAATGAATGTCCCATGTGGTCTAGTGGTTAGGATCTGGCGTTTTCACCGCCATGGCCCGGGTTCGATTCCCGGCATGGGAATGCTTTTTAGGACATTCGACGACTTTTGTTTCGACGACTGCATCGTGGATATTCAACTGCAAAATCTTTTTAACGATGGCCTTGTGGCGCAACTGGTAGCGCGTCTGACTCCAGATCAGAAGGTTAAGTGTTCAAGTCACTTCAAGGTCATGACGAACCTTAACAATTTTCTTGAAAATGTTCGATATCAGATTAGAAAAGCCTTTTACATTTAGTGGTGGTTGCAAAGTTGGTCGATCGAATTGCCATGTGGTCTGGTGGTTAGGATCTGGCGCTCTCACCGCCATGGCCCGGGTTCAATTCCCGGCATGGGAAAATTCAAATTCTCAACAGGGAATGCCTTTTGTTCCGTGCTTCCATTCTAAGAATTGTACCCTCGTGCTGTTGACGTTTTGCTACGTCCATCATTTTAATTTGCGGTGCCGCAAACAACGTAGCTAAAGAAGATGACAATGAGCAATTACTGACTACGTGTGTTCCAGTTCTCAAAATAACTTGTCGGTGTTTAAACCCACAGCGAAATAGTAAAAATTGCGAAGAAATGACTGTGCAGTATATCGCGTTGGTGGTTCAGTGGTAGAATTCTCGCCTGCCACGCGGGAGACCGTGGTTCGATTCCCCGCCAACGCAGAGTATTTTACCTCTCGCATGATGGTTCATGAATTTAGTGAAAAATTGCTATCATCATCCACATCGACAGAAGTAGGATCCTTCTAACACATGTCTAAAGAAGAACGCCGATGTTCAATTTATGTTGCCAAAAGTTTACACAGAACGTTTTAAACAATCATGTTTAAATAAGTGTCTTTTTAATGACTTTTAGAATTTTGTTATACGGCATATATTAACAATAACGTTAACACATTTCTAAATAATCTAATTATTATATCTTATATGCACTGATTGTTTTAAACAACTTTTAATGACTTTTAAAATTTGGTTATACGGTATACAGGGTGTCCCAAAAAAAACCCGAAAAACCATTGAAATAACGTATTGTTAAAATTGAATGCCCTAGCACTAAGCTGAACGTAAAGATGCGTAAAATATTGACAAGGGTGCATATATTAAGTATTGACTTATTAAGAAATTAAAATATCTTTGTAAAGCGCACAATTTTCTGCTCTTCGCAATTTAAAACAGTTTCTTAAACGGTTTCTTTCTGCATAAAATTTACTTATAGTCTAGGACCTGTATATGAGTTTGTATGCATTTCATTTAGCACAGATAATCTCAACTGTTTTAGGGTAAGTTGACCATGACGGTCAACATGGTAACGCTGCCCGAACCCCAATCCGGGGCGAAACATCCAAAACTGACCACACCCAAAAACGACGCTTTCGCCATACTGCTATCTACCAAACCATAAAAGCTTTGGCTATTCTGAGGTGCTTATATGGTTCAGAGATGGTACTTTTGGGGATGGTCATTGGTAAGTGTGAAATGCCTAGCACTAATATTTCACAAGAAAATGGCCATGCAATAATCATAGTTAAACGTCAATTTGTGGCTTGCAAATTCAGATAAACAGCAGTGGACTTACATTACCTTTTTCCCTAAATCTTTTTGATAGAAACATAAATGGTACTTATTTAAATATATTATCACTGGTTTGGTGTAAAATAGTTAATATTTTCTGACCGAAATAATAATTTGAAATGTGCCTACCTCCTGCAAATGGACGTATTTGGCCAAGTTCTCCACTTTACTCCGCTGTTTATCGGCGATCTCGTCGACATCCTACAAAAAATGTAAATCATCTCAGACATAATGGTATCCAGAACATTTTAAACAAGTTTCAACTTGGTTTCAAGTAGATCATACCTGTTTAACCATCGACAAGGTAAATCCACAACTTTGTCCAAATTCGGCGCCATTTTGTCATCCCATGTCGCTTGTTAACAATTCAGCCTTGTTACTCTTCCATCCAAGCCATTTCCATTCCACTACTAATAAATTTAACCCTTTATAACAGGAGGAAACTAAAAAATCTAAACAAAATATAAGAAATACGCCATTTTATCACCATGTAAAATTTTGCTCACGAGTCTTTCAAAACATTCCGTACAAATATCGCGTGACAAAGTAACAGGGACGTGACAGGAGGGTGTGAATTATTTCACGAAGATAGAAGAAGGCTGCGTGAAATAGACTAAAAGCTAAATACAATCATACAAATGTTTGTTTTATTTCTTGTAGCGACAAATATATACATTTATTATTTATTAATATGAAAAAGTCATACAAATTAAATGTTGATTGTTGGTTTTACCATAATGTGTGGGCATTCCTTTCATTTTTCAAGTCTCTTCCCCCCTGTCACGTCCCTGTTGCTAAACCACGCGAGATTTGTACGAAATGTTTTGAAGGACTCGTAAACAACATTTTACAGGGTGATAAAATGGCGTATTTCTTGTATTTTGTTTAGATTTTTAGTTTCCTCCTGTTATAAAGGGTTAAATTTATTATTAGTGGAATGGAAATGGCTTGGATGGAAGAGTAACAAGGCTGAATTGTTAACAAGCGACATGGGTGACAAAATGGCGCCGAATTTGGACAAAGTTGTGGATTTACCTTGTCGATGGTTAAACAGGTATGATCTACTTGAAACCAAGTTGAAACTTGTTTAAAATGTTCTTGATACCATTATGTCTGAGATGATTTACATTTTTTGTAGGATGTCGACGAGATCGCCGATAAACAGCGGAGTAAACTGGAGAACTTGGCCAGATACGTCCATTTGCAGGAGGTAAGCACATTTCGAATTATTATTTCGGTCAGAAAATATTAACTATTTTACACCAAACCAGTGATAATATATTTAAATAAGTACCATTTATGTTTCTATCAAAAAGATGTAGGGAAAAAGGTAATGTAAGTCCACTGCTGTTTATCTGAATTTGCAAGCCACAAATTGACGTTTAACTATGATTATTGCATGGCCATTTTCTTGTGAAATATTAGTGCTAGGCATTTCACACTTACCAATGACCACCCCCAAAGTACCATCTCTGAACCATGTAAGCACCTCAGAATAGCCAAAGCTTTTATGGTTTGGTAGATAGCAGTATGACGAAAACATTGCTTTTGGGTGTGGTCAGTTTCGGACGTTTCGTTGACCGTCATGGTCAACTTGCCTAAAACAGTTGAGATTATCTGTCCTAAATGAAATGCATACAAACTCATATACAGGTCCTAGACTAATGTTCGCTCAGATTTATAAACAGGTTTTTTGTCTAGCCAATCACATCACTTCATGTGACTGCTAATTATAACTAACCAATCATGTGCTTGGTACAAATTTTGTACCAAAGGAAGAGAGATTTGTATCGCGTGCCACCAGAGGTTCTCTTCGCCTCGTGTAAAATAAATACAAGCGGGAATAAGGCGAAAGATATAGAACCTCTGGCAACCAGGGTAGTTTGTTGGTAGTCATTTTGTATTAATTTAAGAGCTGCCTGTTGGCAGCTCTTTTCGCTTTGTCGCCCCTTTTGTAATGAAAACTAGCACTTTTGGAGCCATTGGCTTCATTTGCATAGCAGATGCTCCATCCAGTCCTAAATTCGAGATCAGGTGTGTTACTATTGTTAGGATTAGTCTGCGGGCTTATCATTTCTAAAGTGTTGTTACTAAATTTCTTCTCATATTTTGAACATTTCCAAAGATACACTGGATGAACCATGACCAGGATTTGAATTACCAACAAACCAACATTGACCTATTTATAAAGAGTAAATAAAATTGCTGTCTATTAATGATAGAAAATCAGGGTAATTAATTACGACAAGAGATTCAAGCAGCACAAAGATTATTAATAAGAGCCATTTATCATAATGTGAGCCACTGTTGGTTTGTGTGCTTCACGTTTTTTTAGTCAAAACATTACAAAATGAAAGTTTAATCCCAAAACGGCACATAAATTACGAAAATGCCATCGTTAAAACTGTGTGCAAAATCATTTTCATAAATTGTCAGTCACCCTGGTTTAATAAATTAAATTAAATTAAATTAAATTACCAATTTTTGTATAATATAGGCCATGGGTATTTTGTTCAATCTCACGCCATTAGTCAGACGGTTTTATTTGTCAATGTAGTAATGTCAGTATAACAGGAAAAAACAGCATTTCGTTTTTATACACCGGCCGGTTGGCATGTACTGAAATATTCATGTCAGGGTAATGCACGATTTTTAGTCGTACCTGACAGGTACTGCAATGGTAGGCCTTCAGGTCACTACTGCTACTACTACGACATCAATACCAGAATTCATACCCAAGTTGGATCGCCTTTATAAGGGCCGTCCATCAAAGCAAATATTGGAATTTGAGAAAGTGAAACCACAGCAGAGATTAATAAACTAAACCCAACCAGTGCACCAGCATGATATAATGGAAAGCTGAATGGAAAATTAAATATTATAATTAGTACTTTTGTATGACTGTTACGTTATGGCGGTCAACACCGTTCTGCTCATGCGGGCGGGGGGGGGGGGTCAAAGGGCGGGGCGACCGCCAATGTTTTCCGGTTTTATATTCGTTCAAATTCGATGGTTGATTTGGGAGGAGTTGCATACCTTGCGCGCATCTATTCAGCTCTATACCCACTGAAATAAATTCTGAATATAAATATTCTGAAATCAAATTTTGAAACTGTTAAAAGGTGATTTATTACCCTTTTCCCAATCGATTGGAGGGACAAAATATATGGTGACAGGCGTCAAATATGTGAAAGAGTAGAAGTATCTACTATCAAGTATCAATTTTTAGACGACCAAAAATGAAATATCTCCTTTTTACATTAATTAAACTTTTAGTTAAATATGTTTTATTGTCCCGTCAACTTGGAATTCGCGTGACTAGACCCGGGAAATGGCTAGTTAAGACATTTACATTTTCATTCAAACACCTGTGGCCAGGCCACTTACAATATGATATATAATATATATGGTATAATGCGGTACAGTGTTTATTATTAAACTCTCTCCAAAAGGCATTTCATGAAAAAAAAAGACAATTACATGAAAAAATATTCTTTACATGAAAAAATATTCTAGACTATATATTGAATGAAGAAGTTAAGTATTACAGCAAATGAAGAATATAAGTAAACTTTACTTACTTTTTCATAATAAAAGACGAGTGAGTGGAATACAGAAATGTTCTTAGCAGGGAATAAAGAAAAAAATTGAAAATCTAGAAAAATAGGGACAATTACGTTATTTTGAAAACGTATAATTCAGAAACATATCAGCGTTATTTAGAAACATATCAGCGTCAAACTAAAACAGAAGGATGGAAACTATCGCCCCTTTTGTAATGAAATCTAGCACTTCAAACGTTATGAACCAGACACGCACTTAAATCCGACACTTAAAATAAGACAAATCGTTGTCCTTGTCCTCGAAATATTTTAAGTAACAAAACAATTATAGTAACTTTAGCGAGCGATGTGGCGTAACTTGCGAGCTAAAATGAATATATTACATATTTGACATTGCATGCTTAAATGTTTACAGTCGTTTTTATGTTTTAGGGTGATCTGCATGGGTATAAGCGTTTTTTTAATAGTATTTATCGACGAAATGACTGTAAAAAAAGATAGAGAAGAGATAACAAGTTTCCAAAATGAAATGCATAGAATCCATTCAATACACAGTGTGAATGCGAGTTTATCCATATTTGTTTGTCTTTAGCGAACGAAACTAACTTTAATTTCATACATACAGTACTGTAACTATCACTTCATAAATTGAGTAAACGATTTTCTATTGTTTTTCTCTTTTGAGAACGGTTTAGAGTTTTCTGTCTATTTTGTTGTCGTTTGTGCTGTATTCGCCCTGTGTAAAATCATTATATCGGGCATAAATGTGTTTTCGGCCATTCTCAGAACTCATTTTAACTCTCGTTGCGCTCGAGCTGAAATGATACCGCTTTGGGCCAAAATCGCGGGCTCAACCTTCACGTGACTCGTTTTGTGCAGGCAGCGTCATTTTCATGTTTGCCAATTAGAAGGCACGTAGTGACTACAATATATAATAACAGTTCTTAGCTGTGGCTGTTCCCAATATTCTTATTGACAGAATAGTAGAGTTGAACTTTACCTGTAATTCGAGAACTGGAATTAGAAAACCAACTGTCACCAGGATTGAAATTAATCCCGTGAGAACAAAAGATAAAATGATTGAAAAGTTGCGATGTCTACCAGCAGGATACCAGTCAAGGAGAAAGCCAGGAACAAAGGCCAGAACTATGCCAGTAAATTGAATCAATCCAAGTATTGTAAGATAGAAATCCACTAAAAATGAAAGATGTATAATATGGGTATTGCATAATGTACCTATTTGGTGGAAAGGATGGCACTACTCTCTCAAATAAGAAACTTGGATGATACAAAATTGATAGCGTATATGTACAATGTGAGTAATTCTCACTCCTATAATTCAATATGGCGGATCATGAGAAAAGTGGAGACCTCTTTGTAATCAGATATGCATTCTATATCTATTATTTCTATACATGGGCCATCACGAACTTGCTCGCGTAGGTGCGAGACTAATGCGCCGACCACATACCACAAACAGACATTCAGCAAAATAGGTTTTTCTACACACCTTTTTCTTTGTCATTTGTGAGACGTTTCAACAACGTGTTGACCGTTCCAGTGAAAATGAAAGACCGTAAAGTCGAAATCGAAACGAAACATGTGTGGATGATGAACGTTGGACCTCTGATTATTGAGAGAAGGCTTATCCTTCCTACGGGAAAATAAAGTTAAAAAACTGTAAGTATAGTATAAACATAACTGGTACTTAAACAGCGAAAGTCCGAGCGATATATTTACTGTATATTCCTTTCTAATATTCGGTTGATATAGCTATATCTAGGGACGCAACTACCTGATGAATACAAGGAGAACTTCGACGTGTTAAGCGAAGGCACTTCGAAATTCTTGTATTTTCAGGAATAGTTGAATCGCTAATATTTGCTATCATTGGCACCACTGGCATATACCGTTCTTTTATTGCAGCGTGTTTCAAGCTAGATCAATCAAATCGTGATTCAAAGATTAAGGTGGCTCGCTACAGTTTATAGAAATGTTGAAAATGCATAAACCAGATCACCTTTTTGAAGAGATGATGCTCTTTACAAATTGAAATTTGTATATTATACATACAGCGACAATCAAACAGTCGAAAATTGGTCAGAAAATTGACGTCACCACTGTTGCTATGGCAACAATGACGATTCAAGATGGCCGATATTTTGGCTTTGAACGCATTTTACACTTTAAAAAAGGTCGGTTACCCCCATTTTTTATTTCCGAAAACATTTTCTTCTAGTGCAATGCACTATCTGACCAATTTTAAAAAAATTCTGTCATGCAAAAAAAAATTTATTTCGAAAAACCATGTTTATAATTTTTTTAAAAATTTGGCAATACAGAATTTTTTTAAAATTGGTCAGATAGTGCATTGTACTATAAGAAAATGTTTTCTGTAATAAAAAATGGGGGTAACCGATCTTTTTAAAGTAAAATGCGTTCAAAGCCAAAATATCGGCCATCTTGAATCATCATTGTTGCCATAGCAACAGTGGTGACGTCACTTTTCTGACCAATTTTTGACTGTTTGATTGTCGCTGTATATATAATATACAAATTTCGATTTGTAAAGAGCATCATCTCTTCAAAAAGGTGATCTAGTTTACGCATTTTCAACATTTCTATAAACTGTAGCGAGCCACCTTAAGATACACGGCTCACTCACTTATTTGAACAAACAGCTCTACACTTTTCTTACTTTGCTGAAGAAACTACAAAACATTGTTGCCAAAAACGCAGTTTTCTTCCCAGGAAGCAGCAGTCATTCCACACCATTTCAGAAATGTATTTTATTTAAATCTCCAAGTTGTAGGCCCAGGGTTGATATTGATTATTTTACTGTGTCATGCACGAATTCTTTTTGCAAAGCGTAATGCCGATCATGACTTTTTTCTTGTATTCGAATATTCTCTGAGTTGTTTTCCTTACCTTCGCCAGACTTGATAAATACTTTTTCGTTTTTCAATTGTCCATCTGTGTCAGTTTTTAAGCCAGTGTTACAATTACTTGAGTTAGAATCTTCTTCATTACTTCTGCCATTGCCAATATCTGTATTAGTGCTATCTGGTAGATTTTTGGGAAATATCGTAAACGTAAACAACAATCCATGTCCAAAGACAAAGGAATAGTAAACGATGATGATAGTTTTGAATGGAATCCCAGAATTATAACATAACTGGAAGAAGTAACGAAAGAAAATGAACAACTTTTACATTTCACATGGCGCTATTCAAGTGCGGCCACCACGCCTGTCAAGTTGAAAAATCGGATCCTCGATCTTTGCCTTGCTAGTCCTACTCCATATATCTACTCAAACCGACTTGATAGCGTAACCTCGGTTGATAGAACATTGGGCGAAAATGTGTTGATGTTCTCAACTCCCAAGCCACGACTCCGTAGGAAAAATCCGACGGTAAATTTTGGCCGCTTGCAAATGTCCTAAGTACGTCTCTCCCTACTTTTCTCTCATATATATATATATATCTTTGCGCCTATTTCACCGTTCGCGTGCATCGCTAATTCGCTATATTCAGCCCCTTGAGAGACGGACCTGAACCAAGTCTATGGACGAGCAAGCAAAGGTCGCGGGTTCGATTCGATCAAGCAATTTTTCTGCTTGCCGGGCATCGAGGCAACTATACTATAAAGAGTAGCAACACGATTACTTACATTACTTACATTACTTACATTGTTTTTAATTACATTGTTTTAATTACTTACATTGTTTGCGCATGGCAACTAATACAAATGGCCCTGACAAAGGTTCCATGCATTAAGAGATGTTCAGATTTGACTTTCGGTACCATTAAAGTTTATATGAAATGAAATTTCTTATTTTATTAAATGAAATAACTCTTTAAGCTGTAGTGAAACTTATTTTTTAGTTTCTTGTTTTTATTGTTTGTTCCAGAGATATTTCAATTTGTTTGATATGTAAATGAGAGCAATGAGTGTGAATATGTCCGCTAATTTATGACCTCATGTTGGGTGCAAGCTTTTCAAAATGGCTTTCCAAGATGATAATTTCAAACTTCACTTACTCGTAAATGTGATAAAACACTGGAGAAAAACGTTAACTGATATATATCAACAGTTTTTAGATTTAATACATTTATAACCAGTGTATTAAGCCTGCAACCAACTTGACGTTATAAATTAGCGGACATATTCACACTCATTTACATGTCAAGCAAATTGAAATATCTCCGGGACAAACCATAAAAAACAAGAAACTGGAAAATAAGTTATACTACCACTTAAAGAGTTCTTACATTTAAGAAAATAAGAAATTTCATGTCATATACACTTTAAGGGAGTACTAAGCAATCATATGCGTTCGATGTATCCGATTAACTAATCAGAATAAGATGTGTATACTAAGCCAGTTAGAGGTAATGGTATCGGTAAGGAAAGTCAAATCTAAACCTCGTTATTATTTTAATCACTACGTCAGCACAGTATACCTTAAATATTAGTAGCATGATTGCAGAAGAATCAATGGCGCCGTTTATTACACTGATAGCTGTATAACGTCGTCGAGGAAGAACACCACAAACCTGCGTAGACATTATAAAGTTCTTACAAAACAATAAAAAGCAATATTAATACAAATTGATAGAAGTTACGAGCATTATTTGTGATTTCATGTTATAAAAATGAAAACCAACATGTTGTGTATGGTCAGCGTGGCAAAATAGATCTGTAAGTAAGTATATATCAATGAATACACAAGCTTTACGAAAACAGTATTTAGAGAGCTTTATTGACTATGGCTATCATAGAAACGGTACATGATTTGTCGTTTTTGTCACAATTCATCATCATCATCCCGTTGTCCCCTAAAAGGGGTTCGGGTTGTCTCGACATCTTACTCCACTCTACTCTGTCGTTGACTTTGTCCAAATGCTCACTCTCTCGTCATCCCGAACACAATCCACCCATCGTTTTCTTGGTCGACCCCTACTCCTTGTTTCAGGTCCCTTACGCTCCATTGCCCATCTAACAAGCTCTTTCATTTCCATTCTCTTCCGTGTCGGTACCATCTCAGTCTAATTTCTCAAATCCCTATTCTCAGTTTTGTCAAATTCAATTCCTGTTTTTTTCTACGTTTCTCATTCTTTCGTCTTTTTACACTTCTAATAATAATAATAATAATAATAATAATTAATAATTTATTAATTTATAAAGCGATAAAACTATAAATATTCTAAAGCGCTATCATTACAAATTCAAATAAAATGTTATAAAGTATGAGATGATACCTATATATACATGTTTAAAATTTACTATTATATTTAAAGATAAAATGCCTTTTTTTAAAAAGAAAGGTCTTAAGTCTGTTTTTAAAAGTTTCCACTGTTGACGCCTCACGAATGTCAGCGAGAAGTTCAAATTTACTATTACATTTAAAGATAAAATGCCTTTCTAAAAAGAAAGGTCTTAAGTCTGCTTTTAAAAGTTTCCACTGTTGACGCTTCACGAATGTCAGCGGGAAGTTCATTCCACAAAAATGGACCAGCCTTGGCAAAAGCTCTGTCGTCAAACGTTTTCCTCATTGTCTTAGGAACTATTAGCAAATTGTGCTCATTCGAGCGGTGGCTGTAGCAACCAATATGCTTAGGTGTCAGAAGGTCTGAGATATAAGGCGGTGCATTAGCATGAAGAGCCTTGTACACCAGCAACAAAATCTTGAAAATCACCCGATACCGTACAGGAAGCCAATGAAGGCCAATCAAAACGGGAGTAATATGATCGAATTTGGGGATTAAACAGACCACACGTGCTGCAGCATTGAGAACTCTTTGTAACCTATCATATTGAGACTGTGGGAAACAATAAAACAATGAGTTACAGTAGTCCAGGTGTGAAGTAACAAAAGCATGAACGAAAATCTTTGTTGTATCTTCTGAAAGGAATTTCCTTATCTGCCGGATATTATAGAGGCTGCGAAACGCCTTACTACACACTTTTCCGATGTGAATATCCATCGACATATGTGAGTCAAACCACATTCCGAGGCTTTGAACCACCTCCACAGGCTCGATCGTAGATTTACCAACTGTAATTTCATTGATGTTAATCTTTGACATTTGCTGCTTTGAACCGATGATAATAAATTCAGTCTTGGAATCATTTATCAAGAGACGGTTAGAAAGCATCCAGGCACGAATGTCAGCAACACAGTTTTCAATACTCTTTAGTGCAGCATCTTGTGATAAAGACGTATCCGGCCGAAACGAATGATAAATCAGGGTGTCATCTGCATACGTATGTGCATTGGGAAGATGTTTGTCAATAACCTTAAATAACCCAGCCACATAGAGTATGAAGAGGACAGGG